ATAGCTATTTTGTAGAGTAGAATTTAAGACAAATTTTAGTAAAAAAATATCTTATTAATATTGAGTAGTAAATATTCTGTAGCGTTTTAAAGTTTGTGAAAATTTGATATTTCATGTACTATTTCACGGTATTAAACATTGAAATACGTATTGAGAAAAGGACAGAAAAAGACGCTATCTTTTCATGATTACTGTGTATACATATGATGATAATGTATATACATTACAAACTTGGCATTAATACCATGATAAGAAATTAGATAAGGCAATTATTACTTATCACTCTCATTCAAAAGTATATTGAAAAGATAGCGTTTTCTTCTGTCCTTTTCTCAATATGTATTTCAATGTTTAATACCGTGAAATAGTACATGGAAATTCAAATTTTCACAAACTTCAAAACGCTACAGAATATTTACTACTGAATATTAATAAGATATTTTTTTACTAAAATTTTTCTTAAATTCTACTCTACAAAATAGCTATCTTAGATTTTTTTTTTACTTTTTATTTAAAATTTTAAAATGATTAATATTTTTAATAAAATGTAAAAAAATTAATTATTGAGATATAGCTATAGACCTAACGTATAACTATTATTTAAAAAAAAAATCAGCTAAAAATATTAACTGGATCAAAAGTTATTTAAGTTGTCAGTGAGTGGTGGGCCACCCTGTATATNAATCAACTAAAAATATTAACTGGATCAAAAGTTATTTAAGTTGTCAGTGAGTGGTGGGCTACTCTGTATATTTTTTAAATAGTGGTGAAATTAATTTTTTTATGAACTAATGAGCATTTTTATAAGCTAATAAAGAAAAGTTAATGTAGACGGAAGGAAGTAGAGTTGTTTTATTATAGTGTTTTTAAATTTCTTCCGAGTAAGAATACTCGGAACAAGAATTTTACGCATTAGGTGTGTTGTGGTTGTGCACAAAACCATGAAAAATCATAAAAATTGTTTATTACAGCAGAATAATTACATATTTGTTTTTGGCTTTAAAGCGCCTACTTGGAAATATTAGAGTTATTAATGCGGGAACCTCTGATAAATAAGGGAAGTTGCATTATATAGTTTATATGACAACGATTTACATTCGACTTATGGTATAGGGTGAGGTAACAGCGGTGACAGTTAAAAAATAATACGTCAAGTCTGTCAGACCCTTGCTACCCGGTCTGACCAAACGATGACTTAATATCATTCACATGGTGTTTTATAATATTAATAATAATACTTGTGTAATATGTTTATACAACGTGTATATTAATAATGCAGTTATACTGTCAGTGTGTATACATTAAGTGGTAACAAATTATATTTGACCCGAGAGGAATAAAAACCTCCGGTTGACCGAAGACGCGGAAGAAATGGTTGACGGAAACTCATTTTTCAGACGTTTCTTCTTAATTTTTCACGATTTGTATGCCGTTTAAAGTGATAAAACACGAATAAAAGACACACTAAGAAACACGTGTAATCCAATACCAACTAATCGATTATCGTCCATTAATTAAACTCGTAATCATTTTCATGATATAAAAAAATATTTATTTTAGGACATTCTATCACTATATTATCTCGTGGACCCCCAAGTGTTCGTCCCCCTTGCCCTTCCCCCTATAATCCGGGCCAGAGATCATAGTTTACCTCGATCTGAATTTCAATGTCTTCAAAAATATAAGATTAAGTATAATTTTTGCTTTTTAAAAGCTATTTGCATTCTATTCGCTTTTCATATTTTATTATATCCGAGTTACAAAAATAACTAAAAGATACAAAAGTGCGAGCGGAAATTCAGATCGAGGTAAACAATGACTTAAACCTAAACCTTTTTTTTGTTCGTCACTTGGTTTGAAAATAATTATGTATTTATCTTCATTGACTACAATATTGCCGTTAACATTTAACCAACAGTGGCCTTTGTGACCTCTCTTGGTTACGTCACTGTAATTTGAATTAATAATTATTAACAAAAAGGTATACACAATCAATTTTAAAATTGTATTAAAATATTTAGGTTGATTTAAATAGTAAAATATTAAAAACAAAAATGATGAAGGATTAAAATATATTTTTACTAGTTTACGTAAAAATACAAATTTGAACAAGTGACAAATATTGTACAATTTTTTTTTTTTATATTAAGATGGTTTTTATTTTTACTATAAACTTTTATTATTATACCTTTTATATTAGATTATTAGTTTTTTCTAGTATGTATAAAGAAACATATATACTTATATATGTATTTAGTATCAATAAATTATTTGAAGTAAGTATATAGATTACATTATTTTAGATTTATAATGTCACAAAATAATGTATATTTATATATTAATTAATAATTAAAAAACAAGACCTTTATTTTTAAAATTTCTTTCATATTGTTTGTTAAAAATGTCAGTTTTTATGTTTTATTATTTTAAATTAAAAATTGTTTAATTATATATGATAATTTAAAATTATTGATTTATTCAATTTTTATGAGCATTTTAAATAAAATTGTAAATTGTAATTTTTTTTTTATTTTATCACCAATCTAAATATCCTCTGAATTTATTTGATTTCATTTCAATCACACTGTCTTTCATGCCTTTTTTTGGATTATTCACTTTTCTTTCTTTAAACTCGCCCGGGTCGCATACATCTATGAGATAACCTGAACGGTCACGAGGCCTGAGATGACATATTTTTCCAACGCAGTGTGGAGAGTACACCCAATCAATTACATGGTTTTCGGTAGATAGAACCAAGCCAACAAACTTACATTTAATATCATCATTTGGGACATTTTCATTACACATATGATGATTTGCTGTAACGTATAAAAAATAAAAAATTTAATTTCCCTAAATTCATTTATTTTTTAGTTACTTCTAGACGTAAAAAATAATTTTACTTAAATTTCTTCGAAAGAACTTAATAAATATTTTTTTCATAATTTGTTTTCGTTCTTTTGCGACTAAATTGTAATTCAGTGCTGTAAAATAACAAAATATATTAGTTTCGTTAGAATTAAAACTAATAAAAAAATTAATTGAAATACGTATTTTCAACGTAAACCAACAAAGATTATAACAAATCATGAATTATAATCTATTGTGAAAGCCAGTTACTTTAGATGAATTTTAAGATTTATTATATAATATATAATATTTATACAGCTCTGAAATTTAAAAAGTCTGATAAATTAAGAATTTCAAAATTGCGCTCTCACTTTTAATTATAACACATGATAAATTCATTAAAAAAATTATTTTAAGTTTTATATGGGATATTTATTTTAAATGTTTTTTTCGAATCGATTATGAAGAAAATGTAGTTTACATTTAATAAACTGGAAACTTTGTTATGAAAACCAAAACATAACAAGTATATAAACAAATAATTAATCTTTGATATACTTTATTAATCTTATATAATTCGCTCATTCAGCTAATGTACAAAAGTTATATTGTTTTTTGCAGAAGTGTTATTTAAAGTGATCTAATGAAAGAACATTCTCAAGGGAATTTTATCAGTAACGTGAATTATTCCTAAAGATTTTGTTCTTTAGATTATCATTGGAATACATATCTAAAAAAAAATTGAGTCAAATTATTTTTTTTAGTATACTGATCAAACTTAAAAATGATTTGATGTAATGTATATTTATTGAAAAATTTATGGTGGAAATGTAAGATGAATATAATCATCTTTTATTTGGATAATAATCGCAATATAACAAAAATATTAATAATTTTCTAAAATAATATATTTGTTGTTCAAAAACTAAAAATAATAACACTCTTAAATAAATGTTTTAATGTAGATGCAATCGAAACATTTTCTAGTCAAAATAAAATTCTATATAATTATTGCAGATTGGGTTCAGTTAGACTTACAATTATAAATTACTTTTTAATATTATTTTAAAGTGTTTGCAAACTCGAAAACATATAATTAGATAATTAGTTAACTTTTATTCGAAATAGACTATGTCTACAACTTCGCTTTATAGAAATATTTGACGCTCAATAAATAAATTTAGAAGTGGCCAATTTTATACTTAACTCAGGCCCATTTGAGAACAACGTAAAATATAATTAAATAAAGATAAAAAAAAAATATTCTTGTTTTTTGAAAAAAAGTTATTACGGTAATTTTACATCAATGGCTATATAAAAGTATATATACACTTATAAAAGTTCAAATTGATTCCTGTGATTATAAAAATATATAATTACATGGGTTATATACATCAACATTTGAACTTGATGGACGACCACCTTAAAAAAAATAATAATAATAATTTTAATTTTTTTTTTTCATTTCTGTCATATCCTAATTATTTGTGTTTACTTAAAGAATAACAATACAGCCTTATTAAAATAATATGTGGTCTTTAATGTTTTATAATTTTTTTTTCTATTAGAGTTTAATTGAGTGGCATTTTTCTAAGACTTGCTAATTTGAATTATTTTAGATATTAACATTATTTCACTACAAAAAAAAACAATATTTCTTAATTAAAATTAAAATTTGTGTATAACAAATAAAAGTAAAATACATAATTTTTAACTTAAATGAAACAACTTTTTACCAGAACAAATATATTTTTATAGCTATAGAAAATTTGCAAAAAAATGGCCCGGATTTTTTATTAGTTTTTGAAAAAATTCTCAGTATTTAGTCCAGAATTACTTATTTTTAGAATTAGCTTTTTTTTTTTGCTAACCTTAATTTTTAGGGACAGAATTTTTATTTTTAAACGCTTTTCACTTACAATAATAGTGTGATAGAAGCATAAGAATATTTTAGATTATAGTCACCAAAAATCTAAATACGTCTCTGATAATTTTCATACACTACTGATAACTGCGACTCACAAAAAAAGAAAATTTACTTATTAAAATTTTTGTCGACACAAAACACAGAGTTATATCTTATACTTTTACTTCGAGTTATAAATTCAAAGAAGTAATTGTCTTGTGTACTATTGAGTTTTATTAAAATTACGTTATTTGAAAATTTTATAATTTATATATTATTTATATTTATTTAAAAAAAATTCTATCTAATAATAATTTTTTTTTGTAAAATATTATCCGAATTTTATTTAATCGTTGCTATTCAAATTATATTTTCAGTTAATATTACCACAAAAATATAATTTGTTAATAAAAATAATATATGGTACTAATTTGAAGTAATAAAATAAAATCAAGAAAAATTAGGACAAAAACAAACTTTTTTCCTTTTTTTAATTTTTTCATCTTAAATATTTAGGATATACCAAAAAATAAAAAATTTTTTTTTTTTTCAAAAAATAAGATGTGTGGCAATAAAATTTGTATATAAAAAAAATTAAAGCCCCTAAAAAATACAACGTATTGGTGTTTCTAAGTTTCATTCTTCATTTGTAACAATTAAAAAAAGATAACGCAGATTTTTTTCATTTGCTTTTTTGAGATGTTTTAAGGTCAAGGAGAAGGGCAACATTTTTTTAATAAATTATTCAAAAGGACACTTAAGGTGTTTTTTGTACAAAATCAATTTGAAAAAAATGTTTGTATTTCCAAATATTCTACTTTAAAGTTGAATGAAAATTAGTGTGAATATCAACTTAACGTGGCAGCAGTGTAATTTGTAATTAGCTACACATCGATGATTAAAATCTTACTTGCTAAATTTTCATATAAAGTTTCGATATGTTCTTCAGTTTCAATGTGTTCGGATACTTCTTTAATAAATTCTAGAAAATATAATACGTTTTTTATAATTATTCTTTTAAACTATTTAACATATTTGAGTTTCTGAAATTGATAGTTTTGTAAAATATGTACAAGGAGATTGATTTATCATATTTTTAAAAAATACTAAAATATTGACAAAAAAAAAATGTTAGTTACTTAATACTTAAAAGTAACTAATAATTAAGAAATGAAGAAATATATGAAACTAAAAAAAATAATTTATATATATATGTATATATAATAACTTAAAAAAGCTTCAGATATTAATAAAAGTTTAAAATTTTTCAAAATTATTTACCATTTTTATCTTTTGGAAATAATTCAAAATCTGAAAAAAATGTATTTTAAATTGAAATCTTAATTAGAATTAAAAATTTAATAAAAATAAAATGGTTATAACAAAAGATTACCTTTCCTTAGAAATAAATTTGCTATATCACCTAAAAAATATAAATTACTCGTTAAACTATAATTAAACTCCTAAAATAAAAAAAATTGTATTACGTAAATAGATAAGTTACACTTAAGAAACTTCAACATGTAAAATGAGTGGCAAGCTTTAATCTTCTTAAACTTATAAAAAATGCTTTGAAATATTAAACATGATTTTTATTATATAATGAAGTATTATGTAATGAATATTAAATAAAAATATTTAAAATTTCAGAATAATTTTCATTGGAGTATATAAACATTGTATTAAAAACAAACATTCACTCGTTTATCTATGTTGTTGATATAGTATGAAAATGATAAATAAAATTAAAAAAATGTTTTATTTGGATAGATTAATCTTTCTGATTCACTTATTTTCAGTATAATAATTTTGTCAAATATCGAATTTCTAAGATAAAGTATAAATTTACAATAAAACACCAAAAACTTAATCCTGAATTTTAGGAAATTAATTTTTTAAAACAAATAAAATAAATTAAAATAAATACAGAATATTTTGATAACAATAAAATCTAGTATTAGACATTTATAAAAAAAATTATCAACATAACTTGATAATAACATATGTCACCATTTTATTTATTTTTATAATTTATTGTAAATAAATTTTTTTATTTTTAAAGAGTTTGACTACTTAAAACTTTATAGAATAACAATAGGCGCAATCTGGAGGTCTAAAATTATGAAAATTATATATTAATTTATATAGAAATGTTTTTAGCAGGATAAATTATGTTAGATCCCCGAAACATTTTATTCAAAGTGCGCCTATAGAAACAGCATATTATTTTACTTATATATGATAATTACTATAACTATATTGTCGGAATCGAACGTGAAAGACATAGTGCATATCATCTGAAAAATTATTGATATTAATATATTAGACAATTAGGGTATTACAAAAGCAAAATGACCTTTGTTTTACTATCAGTAAACAGCTCTTATGTAATCTCTTAATGGTTACAGATATTACTGGAATAATGAAGACATCACTAATAATAAATATTCCAGATATAACTCACTTGTTTTATCTTCACTCAGGTGTGCATTATGAAATTTTACGAGGGAGGGAAAGAAACATTTATTTTTAATCATATTTTGTTTTTGCTCATCACTTTTTTAAAATATTTGGGGAAGGGCTTGTGTTCCCAAGGTCAAAAGAAACATTTCATAAAATTACGAAATATTGTTGTTGCTTAAAATTCCGTTAGTAAAATATGGTGATCGAAATAATCGAATGACTTAAACAATAATACAAGGATTCTATCCATGTATCTATTCATTGGACAGATAACTTCACTAAATTGAATTTTGTGTACAGACATACCACTAGACAATGCTCAACAGGCTTTAAGTAAGACCACACGTCTTTTATTTAAATTACGTTTAAAAACGATTAAATTTTAATTGATCATTTGCTATTATTATTATATAATTTACAAATTATTATTTCGACTATCAAATCATTCGATTATTTATGAAATCGAATCATTGGAATATTGAAGTCGATTATTTCCATCACTAGTACAAAGATTAAAGTTAGGGGCGAGGAAAAGTTCACAGCCTTATACTTTAATTGAATCTTTTAAAGAAATTATTTATCGCAAAAACTTATAATTTGGTAGAAATACTACTTAATATATTAAAATTGGTATGAAAACTCATTAATTAATATTAATTATCTTTAGAATTATTAATTAATTTAATAAAAAAAAAAATCAAATTCGTTATCTAGTCTCAGGCATGAGGCAAGTTGACACCTTATCTTAATTTTGGTAATGCTTTAGAAATATATTATATACGTATTCCGCTAATAAGAGTCACATTGTACCCCTTAAGAAATTTTGGATGTATTATATAATTTTTAATTGGTTTACTGGGTAATTAAAAAAAAAAATAGGAAGGTCACAGCACAGTGGGGACGTGGCATAGTTGTGATAAGTATAGATGACATATAACAGTAATTAACGTAATAATAAAACTCATCGATGCGAATCTGATAATTTGTTTGTTGAATATTGTGCATTATAGTTTATTATTGTCAAAATAATTACGTTAGGAACTTAAAAATTAACATAATTAATACTACAACTAAAGTGATACACTATATCAATAACTTATCAACATTTTGTAGAAATTTTTGCTTCGATGATCATTTTCTCATAGTAGATAAATCATCGAAATGATTTTCATTTATAATAATAACGTGTTTTTAAAAAATTTTAATTAATTTAGTACTCACTTTAATATACAGTATCTATAATATTTATAAATATTTTTCTAAACTTCTAAAACTGAGGGTTTTTTTTTTAATTTTCGAATGTGATAAATTCAGTTAGATCGAATTAAAGTTTTTTTTAACTTAAACACCATCAAAATTGGTCCAGTGAAAGCTGATAATTTTTATAAATAGACAAAAAATAACTCACATCATGATAAAATTAATATTTTCTCAGCTTTGTAACGAAACTAAAATTGGAGTGAAAAAATATTTAAAAGGGAAATTCGATCTGACGACCCTCTAAGGTATGTTTTTAGATATTTATTAGTTTTATTTTTTCAGTAACTGAGATAATTCAACTAATTATATGTAAATTATTTTGTATGCAAACATTTCTTACACTAATGACAAAAAAAAAAGTTTTCATTTCATTTTTAGTCGAAAATCCCCTCTAGTACTAGTTTAATTTAAATAAGCCTTTAAAATTAAAATAATTTTTATTCGTGATATTTTTCTTTAGCTATTTTAATGTTAAAAAATGGATTTATTTATTTACGTTCAAATAAAAACTTTATGCCGAAAATCAACAATATTAAATTGTTTTTGTTATAAAGATGTAAATGCGATTTCAAATCAGCATATGGGTTCATTTAAATTATTTTCGAAGAATATGTCATTGTTTAATTAATATATTTAAAATATATGTTTTCATAAAAAGTTCGCAAATGTTACTATAATTTTTTTAATTCAAAAGTGTCAACTTGTTATGCTTTCACTTGTATATATTTTTTTAGTGAAAAACTGTAATATTACGTTCCTAATAATTAGCAATAAATGATTGCATTACAATCTTTATTAGTAACGAGATGTTTTAAAGAAGAAGTTTTTCATTACTCTATAACTGAAATAAATGTGTAATGTAAGTTTTTTAGAGCTGGTAATTTTAATTGGGTTGTCTTCAAAACTAGTTTAAAATCGGCGAAGGTCAAGTAGGAACCATAGAAACATAACATATTGAGCTTTTAAAATGATTATTTTGTTATAGAAATTCTATATAATTTTACGTAAGATATTATTTTAAGTTAAAAGACTGAAAATTATTACCCCCCTAAGTTGTGTGTACACTTGAATAAATAATATGGAATACGTGTAACATTATTTTGATATTCAAATTGTTAAGTAAACATATACATAAGTCAATATAATGATTCTTTATACTAGTAGACTATTTAAGTGACATATGGTACAAATATTTTAGTTTAAATTTAAAATTTTAAAGTGTTCATATTTATTTTGTCCTTGAAATATTTTATGGAATCTATAACTTTTTAGTAAAATTACCTTGATCGCGTTAACATTAATTTAGTAGATTTGAAGGATTCAATGTCCAAATAGTCTTAAATAAAAACTGATACAACTTTTATTCGGACTGAACTAAAAGTATGCCTTATAAAACAAACTTTAAAAATATAATTGCACAACGTACACATATTTAATTATTAGAATATTTAATTACAGAAAGCTATTTTGAGGAGAAAGGATATATACAAAACCTCAAAGTTTTATATTTTTCATTATTATATAATGTTTTAAACATTTTCCGGAACTAAAATTGTATATATAATTGTCATTATTTACATAACATGGGAGTAATTAAAATTTTATTCGATAAATAAACTTTTTTTTTTTTGACCCCTTTTTACATTTAGTATTCATTCAACAAGACGAATAAGTAATTAATTAATACGAGGTGATTCGTTTAATGTTAACCACTCCATTACTCTTAAAATAATAGTTATGTTAAGTAAATAATTTTTGGTATTTTTTAGTCTAATATATTTCAGATTTATTAGATTTATTTATTTTTTTAAATGGAAACATACATAATTAACTAGCTTATAAAATGCAAAGTTATCTATTTAAGAAAATGACCGATTATTAATAACTTTTGATCTGTTATTTCAGAAATAATTATAATTTAAAAATTTAGACTGGAGATGAGATGCAAGTATGGTAATATAGACATTTCTCGGGCGCACCTCACCTTCCGTCTAGGTATAAAATTTTTTATTAACTTTGGACATACTGGTCCAAAACTGGTTATAGATCAGTTATTTTCTAAATTACATTATTTTTTTATTTCATAAGTTAGTTAAATATGTATGTTGCTACTTGAAAAGACAAAGTTGACACCCATATAAGGTACAAGGGATGAATTAAAAAAGTAATGAAAAACTAATAAATCAAGAAATATATGAGACTAAAAAATAATTCACTTAACATAAATATTATTTTAAGAGTAATCGAATGGTTGACACTAAAAGAATTACCTTATATAAAGTACATAATCTGTAAAACTATAATATATTCTATTTTGAACCATTTGAAGCATTAAAAATTGAATTATAGGTATGTATATATAATTTCTAATTGACTAATCGATTCCATTAATAAATTAAAATAAGTATTGAAAAAAAATAAGCTCTTTAAAATATAAATACGTGTGATAATATTCATATTTAACTAGTTACATTTAATATAAATAGTTGTTTGTTATATAGTTAAAAATATCTTACATTGATTTAGTAAATACTGTAGTAAACCATCTAAAAAAGTATTAATTGTTAAAATGTTTAGGAAAAACATCTAAAATAAATTATAACTATTACACTTTATTTATATTCTACTTGAATGGAATTTTATTAGACATAATGATAAATTTGCAAATGTTATATAATTTAATTTTTCCAATAACAGTTGATAAGTTAATATTCTCGAATGTAGTTAAAAAAAAATGGTTATTATGCCTTTGATAACTTACTGTTTTTATTAATTAATGTTATAAGTCCTAAAATAAAATTCAAATGCATTATTGAAAATATTAAAATAACCTTCAGTAATGTGATTGATATGAAAAGATAAAAATTGTCGAATTATTAAATAAAATAAATAAATTTTTGTTATACTATGTAATAAATTTGTTGAATCCTCCTCTTGTATTTGATCACAAGCAGGACATATGTGTACAACGTACAAACTCAACAAAAGCAATAAAGTGCTTATCAGATTCATTTTATTGTTATACATTTTTTTTTTTTTTTGACGTAAAAAATTGACCTTTAAAATTAAATTAACTTAGTTAAAATGAATAAAACGTTAAAGTATCATTGATTTTTATACTTCCTTTGAATAAAAATTGTACTCTTAAGAATATTTATTTTTCGTTACAAATTTAGATTTTTAAAATAGATAGCACATATCTTGTAATAATTCAATGATTTTGAATTATGGTTAGGTGTGACTAAAGGTCGATTCACACTATACGGAACGTCTACGTCACGTTACAGATCGGGAGCCTCACGTAAAAAAAAAATTAACCATATATTTACGAGGTGTTGACGTTATGTAACGTGGCCGGTGTATGCGAACAATACAATACGAATAAATGGTTTGTTATTTTGACGTGACGCTGCCGATCTGTGACATTCCGTATAGTGTGAATCGGCCTTTACACTAACAAAAAATGACTTGAAGTGGTATAAAATTAATAGCTATGTTGAAATATTCTTAAATAATAATTTTTAATGTTTATCGAATTTTTTTTAAATTTATTAAGTTTTAAAACTGTCAATAAAATTATATTTTAAATCATTTTTTTTAACACTACACGTTTCACAGTATAGGCCTATAGGTCGATTCACACTATACGGAATTTCAACGTCATAATATCTAGCCATGTATTTATATCGTATTGTTCACATACACCGGCCACGTTGTGTAACGTCAACATCACGTAAACGGTTAAATTTTTTATTTTTGATGTGACCCTGTCAATCTGTAACGTTTCGTAGAGTGCAAATCGCCTTATGAAATTCAAATTATCTTCTTCATAACTTCGAAGCATGACTGAGAAATTATTAACATATCTTATTATTTAATAAAACATTGAAAAATGAGCAAATGCTGGAAAAGTTGTTAACGACATACGATTTTCAAATTTTTTTTTTTAATGAAAGAGCTCGACGACTTTATTCTAGGAAAATTATTCGCGAAGATGAGAACTTTTTTTTAGCATACCGTGAGCGTATTACTCCCTGTAACAATTTTTTTTTTACGGTTGGGTTGAGTATTTCTACCGGAACCTGTAAGGACAGCCCTAACGTGTCGTTGGTGCGTGAAGTCCACAGGGCACCAGGTTAGGGGGCGAAGCCCCAGCTAATTGAGCCCAGTAGCTATATAAAATTAAATTTAATTTAATTAAAATTTCTATTTCCATGAAAAAAAAAATTATTTTTTCGGAAAATTACACAGGAATAGAGCCATTTTCTTTTTTACAATTTTTATATGATTCTTTGAATAATTTTGACTTTAGATTATTTATATCACATCTAGTTTTTTTAGATAATTATTAATTAGTAATTAAGCGAAAATATAATGTAAAATCGTCATAAAAATATAAAAATTTTTTTTCTTCTAAAATGATTTTATGATGTTTCAAAATGTTATACAATATTGGGGACTGTTCCATCAAGTTTAACCAAATCAAGTTTATTAAGTTTTTGGATCTTTATACTTAATTTTGAAGGCCATTTTTCATAAAAAAAAAGATATAATTTCGGGTATAATTTATTTTCGAATTAACTTATAATTATGAAACGTTAACTGGCATAACAATACTACAAATACGGGAAAATCTCGAAAATTCGCAATAATTTCTGTTTTTTTGATATACTAATCGAGTATTATTTTATTTCGAAGAAATTGAAACAAAAATATAAAAACAATCTCATATATATTGGTGTTTAGTAAGTTAGGAAACGGGTTTCTATTGTTCTCATTATTTAAAACAGTTGATACGTTTCCTTACTTACTAAATATTCTGTAAATATTTTAATAATAAATACAATGATGATTTAGATTTTATGTATAATAATTGTATAATTAATTATAATTATTATTATAATTTTATTATAATACATAAAAATACAGTAGTACAATTTAGAATGTTTCTAACGATTTCACTGGTTTTTACATTTTACTCATTTAGCCAATAAAAAATTAACACGACCCAAATAAATTTGATATGTCGGCAACTAAAGTGATAACGATAACATTTATACCTTATACTTAACGAGAACACATCATTTGACACTTATTTCCTTAATCATGGTACATTGTTATTATTATCATGTTTAAAACGTGTGTATTTATTTCAAAACATAAACCATTAAATTTCAATAATGAATAAAACCTAACTATTAAAACCAAAAAATTCAAATTGAAATAAAATAAAAATGAAGTTATAGTTCGGCGATGAGTTGACCTACGCAATAAATTGACTGCCATCCAATTATATCATGATTTATCTATTTTTTTCTCAAATCTTGTTGGATCGATTTTACTTTACTATTAGTCAATAATTTAAAATTACATATTGTCGAAGATAATACTCCAATCTTTGAAAAAAAAAACGGTAGTACAGTGAGGTCGACGCTCAGTGTGGAAGTGGCATAGTTGAGACAAGTATAAATGATATCTGACTTTGATTAAAATCACTATCATAAGAGAAACGCTTCGATGCAAATCTGTAGATTGTGTTTAATTTTAAGAAATTGGTAGATTATACCCAAAATAAAATGAATTCCTATTTCCTTTACTATTTCTGATTAGTAGTTTTTTGATTTAGAAGTATAACATATGAATAAATATTTATTATAGCAATTAAATTAGTATGAAATTGATATTTAATAATTTAATATTGTAATTTTTTCGGAGAATTTATAAAAAATTATAAAGTAGTTATTACTTTTATGGCAATGTGTAAAAAAAATGAAGGACTTCCCACAAAAATTTTTAAATAATAATTTGTTATTAATTATAAATAGATAGTCTTCAAAAAATTTTCATCAGAGTCAAAAATATTCAAAAATATTCATTTATTATTCTATGTTTCGTGCTAATTTCAAATCAGCAATTATATTTTTTCTATCAGCAATACTTTTTGATATTAATACTAATTAGTTATTAACTATAAGTTAAACTATACGGAAAATAGTTCTGTCTATTTCATCTATTTAAACACCAAGAGTTACATAGAAATTATTAATATTTCTTTTGAAATGATTTATTACGATAAAAAAATTATTAAAATCACAAAAAAATTGTTTCTAAATTAGTACAGATTTTGAATTTTACTATGTTAAAAATAATCAGTGCGAAATATAATTTTAACCTAATTTTGTTTTATAAAGTTGATTTTTTGAAAGTTTATAATAAAAAAAAAGTTGAATTTGTTATCATAACTTTTAACTCAACTTAAATTTTGAAATTTATATTATTAAATAGAAAATTTTATGAGATTTAAAAAAATTGTATTTTAAGATTAATATGCAGGCAAGAAATTGTATAATAACTATTTACTGTAAATTTATCAGAAAAGCTCAATTTTTTTTTTGTAATAGAACAATTAAATAGAAATCATAGTTAAAATTTCTAAGTAACTTTTGATAATTAAAAAGATTCTACAAATGAATTAATCAGAACTTTATTAATTTTAATGATTTACTTTAACTTAAAAAACCATTTAAAATGTTGTAAAAAAAATCTACTCAATTGAGCGTATTATAAAATGTAATTATAATGTAAATTTTTTTTGTTAAATTCAGGTGAAACTAAAAATAATTTTTTGTTAGATTTATGATTTATATAGCAACATGTTACCAAAAAAATTGGAATATTATAGACTGTCAGTAACACACACAATTAAAGTTAAACAATTCATAAATTACAAAGTAAAATTATTTAATTTTGTAGTTGAAACCTATTATCATATCAAACCTAATTTGCCAATGAATACTTAAAAAACATTAGAAACTAATGATTTTAATTGTCTATATGAAAAATGTGGGCTAAGTGACCTTTTAATTTATTATTATTAATTACTTATTAATAAAGTGGAAATTTTTTCAATTTTTGAGTATAATATCTTTAACTAGATAATAATTTGATCATTTGATGTGTCATTAAAATGAGTTAGTCAAATGAGAGCCACAATTAAAAAAATCACATAGTACAATAATTTTAATATGAATAAGAAATTTCTTCAAACGAGGGGAGACTATAGTGATTGGGTCTTGATATTTATTAAAGTTATTGAACTTAAATGAGATAAGAATCAAATGAATTAAAATTTTTTTTCTAACTCAAAAACTATTGTAAAGTATTTTAAAATAAAGTACAAAATCTAAAAATTTAATACACTTAACTAAGTTAAGTTGAATAATTAATTTTTTGAGAAAAAGTTGTCTTTTCGAATTCTCCCCTGTGGGAAGGTGAAGGGTTAGATTAAAAAAATATATATACCAAATGATAGGTGAATATCTATTATATCTATTAAAAATTGGGTAAATATTTTAAAAATTATATAAATAAATACCATTATTTAGATTTACTTTTTATGAAAATTCAATGAAAATCTAATTTAAAAAAGCTAATTAAAGTAATATATTCCAAAAATAATAATATCCTCTAAATGATCAAAACAAGCGTGGATTAACGCCTCCTTATATTAGTTTAACTTAGTGATTATCGATGTTAATATTTATTAAGTTTTATCCAGAAGTATAATGTGACTTTATGAATTTAAAATCAATTAGACTCTGTATATTATACCCAAATCAATTCATACAATTTTGGCTACTGATTAAAATGTTTAGTTGTACAAATGACAAGATTATGTATAATTAAAATATAAATTTGAAAAATTAAAAAATAATTTATAATTAACTGAATAGTAAAATTACAAATTATAGTGCAACAATCAGTCAAGTCTATTTTCAAAAATTTATCAGAATAAATAATATTTTTCAGTAATATCAGTGATAATATTTTATAAGTTAACAATTTTCGCAAATAATCTGAATATAAATAATATTTTTGTACTGAATTAATCAAAAACCTGTATTTTTCAAAACAAAAAAAATATTTTCTGGAAAAATTTGGCTTGTCTAGTTTTTGCACATAATCATTTGATTAATTTTATACTTATAAAAGACTTGGTGACAGTTGTTTAAAAACATTAAAATTTTAAATTAATCTACCATTTTTTAAATATATTTATAATACGAAATAATATAAATAATAATAAATATTAAAGGTAAAGGAGACATACAGGAGTGTGGAGATTATAGAGGCATAGAGTTTATGAGTCGCAGTATGAAAATTTGAGCAAAGGTAATAGAGAAGAGAATAAGAAATGAAACATCGGTATCTAAAAACAATTTTAGATTTATGCCTGGTAAGTCAAAAATGGAGCCAGTATTTTGTGTGAGGCAACTAATAGAAAAGTTAGGAAAAAGAAGAAAAAGCTGTGTAAGGTATTTATAAATTTGGAGAAAGCGTATGATAGAGTACCGAGAGAGGTTTTAAAGTGGTCATTAATGAAAATAGGAGTCCCGAAAAGGTACATTAATATAATAGAAGATATGTATGATGGCACTTGTACCAGGGTAAAAAGCGTAGGAGGAGTATCAGAAGGTTTTCGGGTAAGAGTAGGAATGCATCAAGGTTCTGTTACTTATTTTCTATAGTGATGGATGAAATCATTAGAGAGGTGCCGTGGTGCATTTTGTTTGCTGAAGATATAGTGTTAATAGGAGAAAATAGAGAGGAAATAGAGAGGAAATTAATCAAAGGCTAGAGGTGTGGAGATCATATCTTGAAGAAAAGAGTTTAAGTAGAAGTATCAGTTGTGATAAAGAGTGGTGGTATTAACGAGGATGTAAGACACAGAATTAAGTGCGAGTGGTTGGAGTGGCGAGAAGTGTCTGGCGTCTTATGCGATAAACTAATTCCAATGAGGCTGAAAGGTAAATTTTACAAGACTGTAGTGAGGCCAGCTATGACATATGGTTCAGAGTGTTGGGCGGTTGATAAGAAAGTATAAGGAAGAAGAATACAATAATAGTTAAAATCAAACAGTTATATATTAAAAACAAATAGTTCAACAAATACAATAATAATATATTCATTTCAATTTGTTTAATGTATAATTTCGTTAATTACCAATCTAATATTTCTTGAAAATTTCTATCAAGTAAAATCATTGAAATTACACTATCTTTTTCAAATTGTTGCGCATTTGTTATTTTTATTTCTTTGTATATTCCTGGATCGTATCCTCCGACAATAAAATCATGATTTCCGTATTTTGTCGTAGTGAATGGATAAAAGAGACACATATTACTATAACACCGAGGTGAATATACACAGTCTAGCACTTGTTCTTCAGTTGATCGAATTAATCCAACCAACCTACACTTAGTATCACCGCTTTGATTATCTTCATTACACATTTCTTGATCTCCTGTTGTGTATCAAAGGAAATAAAACTATAACCTATCAAATTATATAATTTAGTAGCCATATTCCAAAGCCATTAAGTAAATTTTAGCAATTTATCGAGAGATTAAAAAGTTAAAAATTTTAACACTTTTATGCAAATCGTTATTTTTTTAATTATTAAACCTTTTTTTAGAAAAAAAGTTTAATAATTTTGACTTTTGATTTTTTTAGTTCATGATATAAAAAATCCTTATTTATATGAAATTATAAAAAAATCTCGAACTTTTTTTGTCAGCTTTTGAATATAACCCATTGAATTTAAAGAGTTTTCTGAATATATTAAAGTTATTTTACTTAATTGGCTTCGAAAGTAGTGAACAAATATTTCCTTCATGATAGCTTTTCGTTCTCTTGAAACTTTATCGTATGTTAGCTCTATAATATAAACAAGTGATATTAATTTTAATTTTGATATATAAGAACATGATCAAGTTTATATGTTTAAAACACCAATAATTTCAAAATTTTAATTAGTCTAATGTGATATTTTAAACATGTTTTTTTTTTAAATATTTCTTTACAATCCTGAACAGGATTGTATAGACTTATAGACATTTGAAAGTAAAATTCTTATGAAACTCCAATTGGACTACAATTGATTATGAAAACCTTTTTTTTAATTTTTGCTCATTTATTTAAGATGAGAAACTTGTAAGGAAAGGCACCTAAAAACCTTTGATGTCCTTATATAAATTGACCTAAATATTATCAACAATATCTTGTAAGATTAGATTAATTCTCGAAAAATTTTTTGTTATATTTTTTTTTATATTGTATAACATTAAGTTCTTAAAATAAGTTATCAGTTGATATATCTCCTCCTTAATTCCCTGACATTGTGACTATATACCATTAAATCCAGATCACAATAGGTCAGGTTGGGTACTGGTCAAATTCAATATTATTTTCTGTGCAAGTAAAGTATTGTAACTACAATTTTTGAAATGAAGTAGAATATTTAATTGCTCTGAATTTTAACATAATCAAACTACAAAATGTATATGAAAATCAAATACGTTTTTAAAATTTCTATGAAAATTTGTAGATATAATAGATAGTGTATAAATTTTATTTTGAAATATATTATATCTTGTATTTATTATACATATATATATATATATTGATGTTAAGCAAAAATTTATATAGTCAATTAAAAAAAAAAAATTTTTCAATTAAAAAAATCCTTCTTACTTTCGTTGTTATTTATAATTTTAGCACGTTTTGAACGGTTCACTGAAAATTTAAAATTTACAAAAAAAATATTTTATTGAAATTTTTCATATGTCTTTTTATTATTATTTTTTAAATTCTTAAAAAATATAAAGGTTTTAATTAAGTTAATTTAACTAACATTAAAAAATATTGCTTGGTTAGTAAAAATAAATAAGGTAAATATAGTATAAAGTAATAAATTATAGCTTACATAGTTTATATAATTAATAGTACACATTAAACAGTTTTTTATGTGATGTATATTTATATTATTTTGACAATTCAAAATGTACAACTAAAAAGTAATTATTTAAGTAATAAAATTTTAATACGATGTATTGTTTTCATTTTCAAGCTTTTGCGTTGATTGGATAACAGTTATAAAAAAATCAAGTGTTTCAATTAAAATTGCCCAACTTAAAAAAAATATATATTATTATTTAAAGAAATTATGAACATATAAAATTTGAAATTAGAGTTTTTAATATTTATGTTTTAAATTATGATGACATTTCTACTAAAGACATTTTTTTTATTAAAATGAGTATTAAAAAACATACTTCCATAACGTCCGAAATCCCATTTGATTTGATTCTCTATGTTTATGTATTCTATTAATTCTTTAATGAATTCTGTAGAATAAAATAACATGTTTATAAACAATATTTTAATATATCTAGCCTTTACACGATGCGTCTTTATTAAAGAAATGTAATGTACCATAATTTATAAAAAGGATGCTTTTCATAATATTTATTTGAAGTATTATTAATCCAAGTGGGTTAATGACAAAATTACAAATGATATAAATTATTATATGAAGAAACGTAAAACTTTTTCTATGTAAATATCCTTTTAATACTTTGAAAATCTAATTTCTTCTGTATTTCTTATGTAAAATCATAAAATAAAGATGTAAAAATACTTTTACATATAGCAAAATAAATTATTTAAATCCGATAATTAGCTATTGAATTTAATATTTTTGTGACAAAGCATATGCCCAAATTTTTACCGGGTTGGGTTTGGTTGGGTTGGGTTACTGATAAAAACTCCGTCAAACTATTAAGACAGAACCAATTTCAAATAGTTGAGAAAGAGACTATTATAGTCTATAGTTATGATGATATCACAAATGATATGCTATCATAATTGAAAAATTTATTTTTGGTCAACTAGTAAAGTTGTTTTTATAGAAACCTTATATTTTAAGATTTTTATATGGCTTATACTAATTACTTATTATACAAATTGTGGGCAATTATTTTAGTAAAAATAATTTAATAACAGTTATTAAATTATTTATTTTCATAAATATTTATATATATATATATAGATATATAATAAAGTAAGCAGTAATTTTTAATATTTACCTTCTTGATTCCTTGAAAATAATGAAGAATCTAAAGATAGAAAAAATATTTGTAGTTATTATAACATTTTATAAATGTAATTTATATAATGATCAACTTTAATTTTTTATCTAATAATTATTAATATGTAAAACTATATAATACTTGATGATAAAATAATACCTTTTCTTAATAAAACATAGCCCAATTCATCTAATAATAAATTGTTTAGTTGAATTATCAATTATATATTATAAGTTATATTAATTAAACTTCGGCAATTAAAAAAGGCTTTAAAACTTAAATGTCAAAAGTTTATTTTTAATAAAGTATTTATGAAAATTATTTTATATTTTATTATAAAAAATATTAACAGCTACAAAAAAAAAAAAAAAAAAATTACCGCCAAAATTTACTCTTAGAAATAATTTTTCCTAACAATAAATTTGATATTTTCTTTGATTCATAAAAATAAATCAAATATAGTATTCTTAATACTCCACTGTATATGGAATATTGTATTGTATTGCTTATTTCATTAAAACATGTACGTAATTGGAAATAAAGTACTTTATTTTTAGGTCTAAAAAATACATTATTTCCTGTTGAAAAATATCTTTATAATGAATTAATTTCAAAATTCTATTCTAAAATTAAATTATATCTAAAAAAATTTAGTTACTATAGTTTCTACTATTGAACGGAACATGAAATGCCTCCCACACTAATCCTGAAATAAAGTTTAAATTAATTTTATTCATTAGTAAAATAAATTAGTGAAATATAAAAATGAGATTTTTTGTATTAATGAATAAATTTATAAAAAAGCAAAACTATCACTAGACGTTATAATGTCCTGGATAAATAAAATATCTTCACTATAAAAATAATAGTTAAATTTTTGGACACAATTAATGATTTGACCTAATAGTCCATAGATTTAATATCTTACATTTTCTGTATTTTTTAGTTATTTTTTAATACTCTGAGGAGTAAAAATTGTATAGATAATTACATCTATGAGTAATTTTAAACATGTCCGAAAATTATTTTTACAAAGTTCAATTTTTAATTTTCAATTTAATTTATAATAATTGCAGCAATTCGTAATAATGTGATTCGCATAATATGTGAGATTATCGAAAACATTATATATATAAAATTATGATACTTAATGTACTAAATATTAGACTTTAGTACATTAAAATTGAGAAATGTGCACAATAGACCAACGTATACATTTTATTTTCATATTAACTCTATAATATTATTAACATCTTACCATTATCTAGTATGTATTGAAATAATTTATCTAAAAAATTAAATCATAACTTTAAATTTAATTATTAATTAAAATTCGTAATAATATTTATACTTAAGTTTGAGATCAGTATAGTCCGAATTTTAAAGTACCAAACGGGTTGGTTTGGTACTTTGGTCTGTAAAACTAAAAAAAGAGACCAACCTGACCAAATAAAAATGTAGATCGTACCGAACCAAACAGAAATTTTAATTAAAATAAACGTTGGGACTGAATATGATCGTTACAAATAACACACAAATATTTTCTATAATTTTTATTAAATATTATTTTATACTTTTTGTCTAAATTTGTTTAAATTCTCAAACAAATATAATTGTAAATCTTCGACATCTTATTATGATCGAATAAATTTTCATCTTATATACAAATAATATAGGTATGCATTTTTTCCACTTTTCAAAAAACAACACATTTGTAATTAAAATACTTAATTAAATTTTAAACTATTAATATAGATACTACGGATGTAGTTACTTACTATTTTGATCAATTAATGATAATAAATCTGAAAATTAAACTCAAAATATAATACAAAATTATAATAACAATACCTAATGAAACAAAATATGTTTAAGAATAATATTAATCAAATTATTATATCTAGTGTCTATATACAAAATGTTGCTTACCATTTATAAAGTGAGTTACATTGGATTGGGCATCAACATAATTAGGAGATTCAACGCTTAAAAATAATGCAAAAGAAAAAAAACAATTCGAATTCATTGTTCTTGTCTTAACAGGACTAAATGATATTAACTACTGAAATTACATGCATTTATTGAAAAAGGTGGAATGATAAAATATATTTTGTTATAATTTATAGAGTAATTTATCATTATTTGTTAAATCGAAATATTATTGAATATTGAGATGTTTATTCATATACAGGGTGATTTTTTTTATCTTGAACTACTTATTGAATCGAATAATATTATAATAATATTTAGTATGAAAGTATTTCATGGTTTATTAATTGAGAAAAGTGTGTAACTAATGAAAACAAAAGAAATTTATCAATATTACATTTATTTTTCTATTAAATAAATGGTTAATGATAAAAGGATCACTTGTATAGTTCACGTTATATCTGTTTATTGAATTTATGTATTCATATTTATGTTATATTTTTTATTTTAATTTATCATTTGGTTATAATAACAATGTCCATTGAAATCCAAATTTAAATAGTTACTTCAAATAGATTTCTGCATCATTTTTCACATTTTTAAATAATTCCTGTATAGCTATCATTATTAAAAAAATTATTTTGTTAAGTAAATACAATTTATTTATAGTAAAAATATATACCATAAAAATTATGTATTACAAATTTTATTTAATAAAATGACAACATTTTTAATTTATCAATTTGCTTTATTAAATCCATTACTCAGTAATTTAGTAGTAATTAACTGGTACGAAAAAGTAATGATTTCTATTAGCGTAACTTGGTATATATAAACATTTTTACATTTGTAAAATATAGACTGGAGATGAGTTACAGGTTATGTTATTTTTATTATTATGAATATCTCAACTATTTTGTAAATAATTTTATACATTGGTGGTAAGAGAGTGCATCATCTCTCTGTAGTATATATTTAAATATATTAATGACTGCCAAAATGTTTGTTCAAAAGTAAAAAAAAACATGTATGTTACCATTTAAAAAAATAAAGTTTGTATCCATATGTATTCCTAATGCCGGAGTAATTCTATGTTTTTGTAATTATAAAAACATTATATCCATCTCGACAGACAATTTATTTAAACTCTTAAATGCCTGTCCTGTCCTTTAACTTTTGCCATCATATACTCATAATATTCATTTAAATGGATATATATAGATTTCTTTTTATCTATACAATTCATGAAATTTATATTTTTGAATTCTAAACAATATTTAGATTGAAATAAAATTTTTCCAAATTTAAATAAAGCATATTTATAGACTTTAGAATATTTATATCAACAGGCTATTTTCAAACTTATACTTTAAGCGTACTTTATGTTCAACTTCGGTTTTAAAAGAATATCTTAATATATATTCAATTTATTGAAGGATACAAGTGTTTCATAAATATTTTTACGCCTAAAAGATAATGCAGAATAATATTTACAATGTCTTAAATAATATTCATTATAATAAACTTTTAGCATTTATAACAACAATCAGAGCTAGGAACCGAAATTATTTTGGTTCCTATCCCTAATATATAGAAATGTAAAAAATTAAAGAAGCCATAGAATTGTACAAAATAAAAGAAGCCATAAAAATTCTCAAAAATTAAAGAAACCTTAGAAATGTAAAAAAATTTAAGAAGCCATAGAAATGATCAAAATTTAAAGAATCCATATAAATGCATAAACTTTAAAGAATCCATATAAATGCATTAACTTTAAAGAAGCCATAAAAATGATCAAAATTTAAAGAAGCCATAAAAAACTCAATATTTAAAGAAACCTTAGAAATATACAAAATAAAAGAAGCCATATGAATATTCATAATTTAAAGAATCCATAGGAATGCTCAACATTTAAGAAACCATAAAAATACTCAAATTTTAAAGAAGCCATAAAATTATACAAATTAAAAAAATATAAATTCATAAAATTAAAAAAAGCCTTAAAAATAAACCATACATCAAAGTTTAGTTTTTTTATTTTAATATTAATATCATGAATGCGATCAACTTTAAGTATGGCATTCAAAATAAATCCAAACTATTTAGTGAATAAATTTGAAACATATACTTACTTTTTAAAAATAGTATTTTTATGTTAGTTAACATGCAATCATAATAACTATAATAACTAAGAGTGCCCTTAGTATTAATACCAGATTTATATTAGATTTTGTAGTGCGCTTATTGGATATACACCTGAATAACCTGGTTTAAATATTACATCAAGTAATTGATATATATTGTTAATTATTCATCAATTGATAAAACCAATTCAAGAAATTAAAATTTTGTTTTACTATTTTCACACAATTTTCGAACATCATATTAAAGGTGTCGATATAAAATTACTCATTAACCATTTTGAAGATTTATATAGAATAGATATTATAATATCAATAGTAACAAGTTAAGTTTAGTTAATTTACTAATAAAAAAAAATTGATTTTTTTAATATTAACCACTTGATTTCTCTTAAAACAATAATTATGCTAAGAAAATTTTTCTTGATATATTTTTTGATTTACCCTTTAACAAGTATTTTTTTAATTCATCCATTATACCTTATAAGGGTTTTAATTTTATTTATTTTTTTAACGACAACCTACATATTTAACTAGCTTATAAAACAGAAAGTGATCTAATTAAAAAAATGGCTGATCGTAAACAATGAGTACTTCTGAAGAAATTTATATTTAAAAATATAAGAGTGGAGGAAAAGCACGCCAGAATAATACTTTATGATAAAATAACAACTCACACATCATTTCCAATCAAGGTTTTAGTGTGACTTATTTGAAAAAAGAATTCGTGTTGCCTAATTCAATATTTTTTGTTCTTCATAGTTAAGTATTGTTTGATTACATTATTTGTAGATATTTTACTGATCTATTGTTTTTAATAAAAATTAAAATTTTCAATAGCAGAAAATATGAGTAATAATAATAATGATTTTTTAATATAAAATTGTAAGTAAAATTGTTGTATTAGTTAATATTTTTATATTAATTCTTTAGTGAATTTTTCAGAGAACAAATATTTATTAACTTAATGAATGTGATATCAAAATATGACAAATTAATAAAGAACATAAAAAAATGAAAAACTTTAAAAATTAGCCACTTAAAAATTTTCTTTAGGATTTCATAATGTGTGCCATCGTTAAAATCTCTTATCTTTACAAGTACTATGCCTGATGTAGCTTATTTCTAATTAGATTATTGGTCTTTCAAAAACTTATAATTTTTTCACAATATTTATGTTTAATAACAATAAAAGCGAAACATGACATCAAAAATAAATCATCATTAAGGTTCGGAATTTTATGCATTTATAAAATTTGTTTGAACCACTTGAAAAACACTCAATTCCATAAACATTTATCTTAGGTATATACAGTACCAAAAGAACTTTTTTTTTCTAAGAAAATGATACCCTCACGTCCCCTTCGAAAAAACTAAAATCCTAATTAAATTACATTGATTAGGATTAATACATAAGAAAAAACGAATATCTTTTTATTATTAATGTACTCGGGATGACTGAAACAAAATATAAATGCATAAAGTTCCAAACCTTAATCATTGTATTACTGTCAACTGAGGTAATTTTGATTATTTTAGTTAGTTTTTTTATATCTTCCTGTTCGCCACTATTTTAATATCTATATAAGAAATCTGAAAATAATGAAATTTATTTTAGTTTTAGTGTTTAATTAACACACTAAGATCATATTTATTTATTCTAATCATTATTTTTATATATATTGAATTTTGAAAACACTTATCAAATGTATAACTAATTTTGTATTTTTATAATCTCCTACTTCTTCATTTTTTATGCAATCAATATATTTTTTATCATTAATATTGATAGACATTATTCTAAATCCATAAAGTAAATTATTCTAGTATTATTTAAAAATTAATACAAATACTGGCCATTAAACAATTGTTAATAAAAATTAACATTTCGTTCTAATAAATTATTATTATAATCATATTTTTTTTAAATTTGATAATAATTAATTGAATAAAATTATTGATTACTTAATGATCAGTTGTCTAGTTTTACGCTCTCATCCTTTAACAAGGGCATTAGGTGTATTGACACCAATACGACTAACATTAAATCGGCAAATATGAAAGTATTTGTGTTTTTCAGAAATTTTATCAATACTTTTTAAACAGCATGTTGATTATGTTTATACTGATTTAAATGATGCTACTGAAAAATTTCATTATAGTAGGGTAATATATAAAATCGAGCCCTGACATAATTGTTCTAATTGTCACATTATGGTCATGTCCTATTGTAAAACCAAAAAATACAATGTGATAGGTTGTTATGCAACTAGATGGCAGTTTTGTGGCGAGGATGTTTAGGTAAAATATTTCAACATAAACAACAATATATTCTGACAATTTAACGAACTTGAACGTCTGCCAACGACTAGCAAAAAGAGTCGGAAATTTCGTCAACAAAATAAAATAAAATAATAATAATGATAAATAACTGGGGATGTATTATTTTCGAGCGAAAGGCAGAAAAAGGGAGTTTGGCAGCTTACTGCGTGTCGAATTGTTACGAGAGTCGGAACCCAGAAAAAAATAATCTGCCTGGCTCGTTTTTTACGATTATTGTAATGTATAACTTAGAAATTTGGCGTCCCCGTGTACAGTGTTAGATTTATAAACGTAAAAGTCTGAGAAAAAAACAACCTCCGATTTCCTTATTTTTTTTTTATGGTCATCGCAATCGGTGATTGGCCGCGCTTTGGATGTATTCGTGCCAACAACTAAGGACAAAACGAAAAAAATAACAATAATAATAATAACAATAATGCAAAATAAATGTTATGGCGAACAACCGCACAGAATCGCGTATAGGCGATTGTCCTTAATAAATTTCAATTAACATTTCTCGTATTTGTTTTAATTTTTGTTCCTTTTTTTTTTTTTTTTTACAGAACAACCGCATGTCGTCGGGAAGACGCCAACAAAAAAATTACACAGACGCTGTTCTCAAACAATGATCCAACTTTTGGCCGATAAATATTATAAATATAATTGTATTAAACGGTG